TTGGCTAGTTCTCGCCTAATTGGTGCGAGTTAAACCTCCGTTTCCACCAAAGAAAGGGAGAAAGAGAAAGAAAGAAAAGAGAGAGAGAGAGAGAGAGAGAGGAGGGGGAAGGTAGGGAGATTGGCGATGCCCTCCCCACCCCCCCAAAAAAACCCTTCTCACGTATAAAACAAGATAATAATAACAGAGAAGTTTGGATTGAAAAGCCCGAATTGAAACAAGCCAGTGTTTTTATTTTTATTCTTTATTTTTTAAACCTTATCCCAATTAAATCCTTTTTCAAATACAACAGTCGACTAATTTTGCACGAGGTAAGAGAAAGCTGGTGGGGACGTTTGGATACCCTACTCGGGGTTATGAACGTGGCCAACGCCCGCCCGACACCCAAAAAGCACTTGGGATTTGTTGATTTTTTTCCACCCCCTAAGTATCAGAAAGAAAATAAGAGAAGGCGGCCAAAACGTGTCCGGCCGCTTGTCTGAATACCTAACTCCCTTTTTTTTTTCTCCCCCTCCGTATCTCTGGGAAAGGCCGAAGAAGAGGCCAGCCTCTTCCTCGCTTTTTCGTACGTTTTTAGCGGTCCCCACCGCCTCGGATTTCAAAACCTCGCTCTCAAGGCTCGTTTCTACCAGGCCGCGATCTTAACGTGCAGGACAAGCGGGAGAACCGCTCGTCTGAACCCGCCTTTGACACCGGGATTTCACGCCGTTCTTTTTCGACTTCCGCGAGCCCATAAATGTGATTTCAAAAGAAAACCTTCCGAAAGTGCGGAAGACAGGCGCTGGAAAGCAGAAGGCGGGACGGGAAAAAATCCCGATCGGTTTTTTATCTTATTTTTATAAATAAGATAGTTGGGGTTTTTTTTTTTTTGGTTTTTTTTTTTTTTGTTTTCTGACATTTTATTCAGCCCATTTATTCGGAATTTATGCTGGGGACTTTGACCTGCATCCATTCCGAAAGCGCAGCTCATTAAAATAAAACGTTAAATACGCCCGGTAAACGTAGACACGGTTTATTTTATGGAGTAAATGAGAGACAAAATCAACTACTTTAACCTCTTATTATAGAGTTCAGGGCCGATAAAAAAGAAAGAAAGAAAGAAAGAAAGAAAGAAAGAAAGAGAAAGAAAGAAAGAAAGAAAGAAAGAAAGAAAGAAAGAAAGAAGTATCTAGTTATAGCGTAACGCTGGAGAGGAGGGTGCCTTCCTTGCCGCGTTAGGCTGCTTGGCTGTAAATTTTAAATATCCATCCGTTTTCATTGTTTTTACTCCCCCCGAGCAAATCACTACCTCCACACCCATTATTTTCCTTCGAACTTAATTGCCCGTGTTTTGTTTCAGTTTTGCTTGCTTGTTTGTTTGTTTAGAGGACTTTTTTCAAGTGTTAGGGTAAACAACAAAGTTAACCAAGGATTTGGGCATCTCGGATGGTGATAAGGCAAAGTCTGGATAGCTGCGCTTTTATTTTTGCTTTATTTTATTTTATTTTCAATATTGGAAAAGGTGGGAATCCCGAAAAGGATTTAAAAATAAAAATAAAAATCTGCGGCTGCAAATCAGATCAGGGAATTCAAGAAAATGGAAATCACGTCTGAAGTTTGTAGTCTCAAGTTTGTAGCGCCCCCCCCCCCCTCTCATTTCTCTTCCGAACCGCTCATTCTCGGCAGAAGAGGAAACCACGAACAAGCCAACTCATGTTAATGAGGTCAGCAAAGCAGAGCATGCCAACGTTAATAACAGCGATAATATTCAGTATTAAGTATAGGAGTTTCCCTATAGTCAGCTTGTCTCTCTCTCTCTTTCTCTCCCTCGCTCCCTCTCTCTCTCTCTCTCTCTCTCTCTCTCTCTCTCTGCCTTTCGTTTTGTTTTTAGAGGGGGAAATGCAGAGAGACCAGTAGGGGGCGCAGCAAGCCTATGCGTAAACCCCCGATCAGAAAGTTCACGGCGCCCTTCCAGGCGTTTCTCCTTTTTGTGTATTTCCAAACAACTTTTCCTGTTGTGGGTCTCTCTGCCCTGCGTTTCTGAGCTTTACCTACGAGCCGATCGGGAATTCTTTAAACATCCTCAATAACTTTCGGAAGTCTGAGAGGCGTCAGGATAACCTCCCACCCCCCCCCTCAAAATGAAAGGAAAAGAAAGGGAAATCCCGAGCACCTTTTTTATTCTTTTCTTCTTCTTTTTTTATTTTCCATTTGCTTGAAACTTAAAAGCAAAGTTTCACTAGCTTTAAAAAAAAATGGATGAAAACTATAGAATTGTGTAAGTTTAAACAGAGAGCTATGGGTGGGGGGGAGACCCCTTCCCGTGGAAATGGACACGGCGGGGGGGGGGGAAAGCAAGAAAATAATTTAGTGGGAGGAAGGGAGAACTTTTGGGCCAAAGAACAACCTTCCCCTTTCCCCCTCCAGAATTCAGAATCAAATGTGCTGGCCAATAAATCCGGCTCATGTTTGGCTTTTTTTTCCAAAGACGAATCCTGCACGTTGAAACAGTTTATGTAGCAAATATGGCTGAATATTTATTTCTCTTTCTAAAATCGCTGCTTCCTCTCTTTCCATCCCGCTCTCCACCACCACCCCCTTCCTTCTTTGTATTTTTAGTGCGTTTTCACCCATAAAGATCCCAGCACAAGAGCCTGTGGAATAAACTTAGCTGGCGGTTTTGTTTAGCAGCTTGTACTGACAGCAAAAAAAAAAAAAAACCAACAACAAAATAAACTACCTATTTGTAACGTTTGTGCTGTCCCGGGCTCTCACCTCTTGAACCTTCTCTCTCCCCCCCCCCCGTCCCATCTCAGAGAGAGAGAGAGAAGAGAGAGAGAGACTCCGCCGCGAACTGGATGCGCTGCGCGCCTCGTTCCCCCCCCCGGAGCATCCCCCCCCGAGCATCCCGAATTGGCTCCCCCAAATCTCGGCGGCGTTTCACTTCTCCTTGGCTTTTCTCGGCCTGCTCTTATTGTACCTGCGCACCTGCTTCCCAAGCCTTGCGGGGTCCGGTGTGTGTGTGTGTATGGACTTTGAGAAGGAATAATGCTGCACTTTAAAATTGCAGGGGGCAAAAAATGTTAAAAGGCCCGCCGGGGGGGGGGAGGAGAGAGAGAGAGAGAGAGAGAAAGAGAGAGATGGAGGGATGGAGGGAGGGAAGCGTCTTTATGCTTCCAAGTCCTTAGGAGCGCGTGTGTGAGTGTGAGTGGGTTTTTATTGAATCTCCCCCTTTTTCCCTTTGTGGAAGAAAAAGAGGCGAGGTGTGTAGCGGGGGGAAGGAAGGGAAGAGCCCCCGGGTTGCGGGAGAGAATCCGCATTTGTTTGTTGCTTCCTTTCCCGTCTCTAACGTCTCGGGGAGAAAGATCAGATGCTCCGGGAGGGGAGGCAGCGCCCAGCTTAGCTTGGCCTGGTGGCTTCCAGCCGTGGAATTGGGGGGTGGCGGGTGGGGAAGGGGTCGAGGGGGAGGGGGACCCTGGCGTCGGTTCGGGGAAGTGAAGAGGGGAAAAACAAAAAAAAACTATCCCGCGCCTATCGCGAGCCGTTACTTGGCGCCGGTCCAGCCAAGAGATCTCCAGATGGACAGAGAAGGAGGCGGGCGTGGGGTGGGGGGGCTTGACTCTTCTCCCGGACACGCGGGATCGCGACCAACAGGTGCCAGGAGGTGGCCTTGGGACGGCGGTCCTAGGAGAGGGCAAAGACGCCCTCGGGTTTAAGGGGGAGGAACAGAGGCCCAAACTCACGTCCAGGGAGACTTAATTTCAGGGGAATTTAGCCACGAGGATGAGGGACAGGGCAGGTCTTCTTTGCAACGGTTGCTAGGATTGGAGAGAGATCAACCCCGTTTTCTTCCCTGGGTCGAGGCCCTCTTCTAGATTCCTTAGGTAGACCACACAAGCCCCCCTTTGCCCTGCGTGGAAGGGTGCCTGAGAGCGCCTTCTGTAGGGAAAGGCGGACGGGAATCGGCTCCGGCCAGAACCTCCAGCCTACTCCCAGGATCTTGGGCCGATCCGACGATCGGGGATTCTCCCCCCGGGGATGTCTCAGGAGGCCTTGGTAGAGATGATCCCTCGGGCCTGTGATCGGAAAGCCAGACCCTGTTTTCTCAGGGGGGGGGCATGACTCTCCCTCACCCCTCCTCTGCAAATCCCACTTTCAAAACAAAGTGTTGCAACTTTTCTTTTCTCCCTCCCTCCTCCTCCCTCTCTCCCACTCTCCCTCACTCCTTCTCTCTCTCTCTCTCTCCCTCTCTTTCTCTCCCTCTCCCTCTCTCTTTCTCTCCCTCCCTCCTTCTCTCTCTCTCCCTCTCTCCTTCTCTCTCTCTCTCCTTCTCTCTCTCTCTCCCTCTCTCTTTCTCTCCCTCCCGCCCCCTCTCTCTCCCATTCTCCCTCCCTCCTCTCTCTCTCTCTGCCTCCCCCTCCCCCTCTCCTTCTCTCTCCCTCTCCCTCTCCCTCCTTCTCTCTCTCTCTCCCTCTCCCTCGTTCTCTCTCTCTCCCTCTCTCTGCCTCTCCTTCTCTCCCCCTCTCCCTCTCCCCCTCTCTCCCTCTCTCTCTCCCTCTCTCTCTCTCCCTCCTTCTCTTTCTCCCTCTCCCTCCTCCTCTCTCTCTCTCCTCTCCCTCTTCCTCTCTCCCTCTCCTTCCCTCTTTTCTTTTCTTTTTTCTTTTTTGCAACACATCAGCAACTTGCAGCCGAGCAGGCCTTCCTCGGAGGGGGCGCGTTGTTTTTGCTTTTTTTTTTTTTTTTTTTTAATGTAGCAACAATGCTGTTTACACACTTCCTCCGCGAGGCGTGTGTGACCTGTTGCTCGTGAGAGGCGCTCCGAGGGGCCCGCGGGGAAGCGCTCTCGCCTCCTCCAAGGCCCGCCTCCCGCTTTCCCTCCTTCCCTCCTCCCCCCCCCCCCCATCACCAACACGAGCCGAGCCTAGCCGAGCCGTCCCGGCTGGCGCGCGCGCGGGTAGCCCCGCCCCTTTTCATGCAAAACTCGCCGGGGAGACTTGTCCTCAGTGGAGGAGCCGGAGCGCGCTGATTGGCCGGGGCGGACGCATTTATTCTCTGACAAGCCCCCCATCACATGGATGGGTTGTCTATTAACTTGTTCAAAAAAGTATCCGGAGTTGTCAAGGCAGGGAGAGAGAGAGAGAGAGGGAAAGAAAGAAAGAGAGAGAGAGAGAGAGGGAGAGAGGGAGAGAGGGAGACCAGGGAGAGGGAGAGGGTTTGGCGGGGGGTGGGGGGCAGCACAACAAAGCCCAGCAAAAGAGGGCCGGGGCAACAAGGATCCGGGCCGGTTCCTTAAGACTCCGAGCTCCGGCGGTGTAGTGGTGGTGGGAGGGGGGGGAAGGTTGCAAGGAAGAAGCGGCCGAAGGAGGGGAGACGCCGGCCGGTTCTGGAAGAAGTTTCTCCCCTGCAGAGACGCTCCGATCCTGCCTCCTTTGTTATGAAGCGCCAAGAATAACCGTCCGAGGGCTGCCGTCGCCGATCTTCCTGCTTGTTGCCGCCGCCGCCGCCGCCGCCGCCGGCCAGTTGAAGGCGATCCCGGCGCAGGTCTCCTCGGCGGAGTTTGGTGCTGGGGGGAGGGGGGAGCGCTCCCCTCCCGGAGAAGCCCAGCCCGGCGCGGGACCCCTTTGCTCCTGACTGGCTCCCTCGCTTCCTTGGAGGCTCCTCGCAGCTGGCTGGCTGGCTTGGCTGAGCGGGCAGGCAGGCAGGCAGGCAGGGGGGCTCCTGCTGTTGTTGCTGTTGCTGCCGCCGCCGCTTGGACTCCGGCCGGGCGGGGAAAAGGGTGGAAGCAGCGGCCGTCGGGACTCCTTCGCCCCTCGCGGGCCCTGTATGAGCTCCGGTTGCCTCTAAGCGCCCGTTCCCGGGTTGCTTTGCCCGAGCCTTTCGCCGCTGCGACCCCCCCCCTCACCCCCCCCCGTCGCAGGCAAAAAAACAAAAAACAAAAAAACCGCTTGAATGTACAACATGATGGAAAGCGACCTGAAGCCTCCCGCCCCCCAGGCGACTCCGGGGGGAGGCCCGGGGGGGAACAGCAACGCCGGGGGGGCCAACAGCCAGAAGAACAGCCCCGACCGGGTCAAAAGACCCATGAACGCTTTCATGGTCTGGTCTCGAGGCCAACGGAGGAAGATGGCTCAGGAGAACCCCAAGATGCACAACTCGGAGATCAGCAAGCGCCTGGGGGCCGAGTGGAAACTTTTATCCGAGGCGGAGAAGAGACCCTTCATCGACGAGGCCAAGCGGCTGCGCGCCTTGCACATGAAGGAACACCCGGATTATAAATACAGACCCCGGCGGAAAACCAAGACTTTGATGAAGAAGGATAAGTACACGCTGCCCGGGGGGTTGTTGGCCCCGGGTTCCAACTCCATGGGCGGCGGAGTCGGCGTGGGGGCTCCGCTGGGCGCGGCCGGCGTCAACCAGCGGATGGACAGCTACGCTCACATGAACGGCTGGACCAACGGAGGCTACGGCATGATGCAGGACCAGCTCGGCTACCCGCAGCACCCGGGGCTCAACGCCCACAACGCCGCCGCCGCCGCCGCCGCCGCCGCCCAGATGCAGCCCATGCACCGTTACGACGTGAGCGCCCTGCAGTACAACTCCATGACCGGCTCCCAGACGTACATGAACGGTTCGCCTACCTACAGCACCATGTCTTACACGCAGCAAGCTACCCCGGGCATGGGGTTGAGCTCCATGGGCTCCGGGGTCAAGACGGAGTCGAGTTCCAGCCCGCCCGTGGTCACCTCCTCTTCCCACTCCAGAGCTCCCTGCCAAGGCGGGGACCTCCGGGATATGATCAGCATGTACCTGCCCGGAGCCGACGTGGCGGAAACGGCCGCCCCCAGCAGACTGCACATGTCGCAGCATTACCAGAACGCACCTGTGCCAGGAGCGGCGATAAACGGCACGCTGCCTCTGTCCCACATGTAAGACCCAGGGGGCGGCGCGGGAGGGGGGGGGGCTCGGCAGGAAGGAGCGCGAGAAAACCCCGACCAAGCAAGACAAACTTTTCTTAGCGATGTTGGACTCTTCTGCCTCCTTTCCTCTCCCCCCACCCACCCACTCTTCTTCCTCTCCTCTTTTTCTGTGGGGAGGGGGGAGGTGGCGGTGGGGTGGAGGGCAGCGAGAGGCCACTATTTTTGTACAGAGAATAACTAGGTTAGGGGAAAGCAGATCGCATACAAAATCAGAAAGGGAAAGGAAAACAAAACCACAACCTATTAATAATAATAAATAATAATAAATAATAATATTAATAACCCAACCAGGAACTTGTACAGGAACTTTCCCCCTCCCTCTCCGCTTGGAGAGGGATCAACTCCACTCAACTTGTTTTGCCCCCCCCCACCACACACAAACATTTCTCTTCTCTTTCCCCCACCCCCATCCAGTTCCAGTAAAAACGGTACTTTGCAAAAAAAAAAAGTTTTTTTTTAAAAAAAAATAAAGTTTTTATCCATATTCTTTAGAACTAGTCTCCAGAAAGAGACGTAGGAAAGAGGAGGGAAAAGACCAGGGAATGGGGATGGGAAATGTTTTAATATTTGCAAGCAACTTTTGTACAGTATTTATCAAAACAAACATGGCAATCGAAAAGTTCATTGTTTATATTAAAAAGAGAGACAGAGTCGGGGGTAGGGGGAGAAACCCTGAGCATTTGCCAATTATTTTTTAAAATACAACAAAGTCTGCTTACGACGCTGTAGTGATTGCAAATGAATTCATAGTAGCAACACACACACAAATAAGGAGGTGAATTTTACTTTAAAAGGAAGATCTGGGCATTTTAATTGTTTTAGCAAATTGTACAAACTGGCAAAAAAAAAAAAATAGAATAAGTAATTGCATACCACTGAACTGTTTTGTTTTTGTTTTTAATTAAAAAAAAAGGGCAACAGTTTAGGGTGTACTAAATTTTTTTTTTACACATTGTTAAAAACAAACAAACCTTGTCTTGCAGGTCCACATACTTTGTTAATTTAAAATAGCCCTTTTTGTTTCCAAACTTTATCCTGTTTGGCTAAAAGGACAACAAAAGAGCAACCTAAAACTGTGTTTGAAATATTTTCTTATGGTTTGTAATATTTCTGTAAATTTATTGTGATGACATTTTAAGTTCTTTTATTCCCCTCCCCCTTCTCATTTCCAGTAGTTGTACTTTAAAACTCGGCTGTGTATTATCTGAAATCAGTCTGGCAACAGTCCTTCATATATTTATATATACATATGTGTGTAGGGATGAACACACACGAGAATATGTATATATATATACCCATATATATATTTGAACTAATAACATCCTTTTAAACAGGTTCATATTCAACCTCAGTTTTTACACCATTATACACAGTTTGAGATAAATAAATTTTTGAAATATGGACACTGAAATTACATTTGAGTCTTTGATTTATTTTTTACAAGCAGGGTGCAATTTATTCACTCATTTGTTCATTTAGTTGTTGTTTTTTTAAAAAGCACAAATTCAACCTGGTCAATGTTTTATCGTCCTGTAATGCTGTGGGGTTAAATGACTTTAGCATCGCATAAAAAGCTGTAAAGTGAGGGCAATCCCCACCAGCCTGGTTTTCAAGGGTCGTTTTAACTCTAGTGACTTTTTTTTTTTAATGAAAAGAAAAAAAATAGCATTTGAAATTCAATTCACGTGGCCCGGGACCCCGATCAGCTGTAATGAAATGACAAATTCTTTCACCAAAAGATAAATATGCATCTAGCGGGCTCGTTTTCCCGGGCTTGGCTTTGTAGTCCTCCGAGAAGTGTTGCAATAAAACCGTTGCGTTGTTAGTGATGGCGGTAACGAGGACTAGGATGGCGTTGTTGTGGTGGTAGTTAATTCCTTCGGTGTGGAAAAGAAGGAAGTTTGGCGGTGTTTGCGGTGGGGGAGGGAGAGAGAAGGGATCACTTGTTGCAAAGCGCCCCCCCCCCAAAAAAGACCCTTCCCTCGGAAATGAACGAAGGAGCTGAACGAAGGAAACTTTTAAATATTATATATTTTTTTAAAAAAAGACAAAACCAGGCGAGGCTGCTGGTTCCCTTCGCTCCTCTCAAGACGTGTCCCCGTCGCCTTCCGGAAGCAGGATATGGGAAGGGCGAAGGGGGCTCGGCGCTGCGGGATGTGCCTTGCCAGAGAGCGGGTCCTGGCGTTGGGGCGGGGGCAGCAGCGTCCCCCTTCCTGGCTAGAGGTATATGTCGGCATTGCAGGAAGCCTGAGGACGGTTCGGAGCGATCAGGGGCTCCCTCGCTTTCTTTTTCTCCCCCCCCCTTTTTTTGTTTGTTTGTTTGTTTTCCAGGGCAAAGGAATAAACGGGTATTTTAGGAACGTTGTGATTTGGGATCTGTGCGTGTGTTGCGGAGGAAAGGAAAGAGAGCAGCGTAAATAGAAAGCACCCCTTCGAGGTTAAATCACCTACACGGCTATAACGCTCCTGGGTATTCTCCAAAGTCCTTTTTTTTTTCTCTTTTCGCCTCCTCGTAATTCGTCCTTCGCCCGCGAGCCTGTTGCAGAAAAAGCGGCCGCCAATCCTTTCCTCCCCTCTTTTCCCCCTAACCACCCCCCTACACCCCGAGATCTAAAAAATCCCAGTTAAAAATAGAGAGCATCTGGGCTGGCGAAACGTGAATCTTGGTTAACTTTTTGTGTTGCTGCGCCTTGGAGGTTTCTGTTTGAAAAAGGGGCAGCGGGGGTCTGTTTAAAAGGAAGGCGGCCTTGGATTCTCTCTCTCTCTCTCCCTCTCTCTCTCCCTCCCTCCCTCTCTCTCTCTCTCTTCCCCAAGACCCTTCGGCGGGCGGCGGGCGCACCTGCTGGGTAGCACCATCCAAGCCGTTGGAAAGGAAAGGACTAAATGCTCCGTCCCCAAGCCCCTTATTGGGAAAGTTCATCCCAGATTTAAATCATCCGGGCTGTTTTCGGGATTTGGGGGGGGGGGGAATCTTTGGATTGGGCGGCTTGACCTCTCCGGGTTCATAAGTGCCTTAAGGGCCGGCATAATCTTGTCTTGCGCGCCTCTATCCCAACTGGGCGCGGAGGAAAAGAATCCCCCAACTAAAGTCACCGGCCTGTAGGATTTGATTTACGCTGGGCCCGTATTTATCTTCAGAGGATCTGAGCCTGATTAACCAGGAAGGAATAGACGGAGGCCTCTGTTAGATCCGAGATGGCAGAAGAATGATTAGCTTTGGATAGGGTACCAGGTTGGGAAAAGTACCCCCTTCCCCTCCCACTCTCTCCACCCCGCGCTTAAATCCTGAGTGGCGACCGTGGCTTGGGGGGGGGATTTCCTAAATTGTGAGTTATGTCATTCTGGGAGCCGAGAAATGGCCTTTCTCCTTTCGTTTCTTCCATCCTTTCTTTCTTCCATCCATCTTTCCTTCTTTGCAAGTTCTATTTGAGGGCTGATCGTGCCAGCTTCTCCCACTTGGGCCACCTAATTGATTTGGAGCTGGCAAAGCTGGAACCGTCTCGCTGTTATATTTCTCGCTATTGAATTTCTCCGGGAAAATCACGTTTTAAAAACTAGCCTGCCGGGGACGATCTTCAGATCTGCCGACTAAATTATTCGGCCCCGTTTTAAAAAATCGGAGGCGGGGAAGGAGGGGATGGGGAAATTCAGGAAATGCCTGCATTGGGCATAGGACGAATGTTTCTCCATTTCTTCCCCGTCTTTATACCTGGGATGAAGCCGGCCTGGGGTTCCATGGCCGAAGCTTTCTAAAAGTGTTTCCACTTCGCCTCTTTTAAATGGAACCTCGCAGCTCTTTCGGGCCTCCACATTTGGGGTAAATGCTACATTTGCGAAATTGGCGTTTTGTGTTAGTTGCCGGCTTTCGCTTGTAACCAGGCCTCTAAGAGAGGGAAAGGACCCGGTTTTTTTTTTTATCTCCGCCGTTTAAGCGCCGCGGTTTTTATTCTTCGCTCTACCGCAGGCCGAAGTAGGTCAGAAACATGTTGCTGGAAATTCTTCCCGTCTGTCGCCTTTCTTAATGAACGCCAGAACATTTGAAAGAATTGTTTCCATTGGTAACGGGAGAGGAGGGGAGTCTCTTTCAACCTTTCTCTCCTTTTCGAATCTTCGAAAATCTAACTTTCTAGATGGGGTTTTTTCCTTCTTTCTCTCTGTCTCTCTGTCTCTCCCCCGCCATAACTGTTGACAATCGGACAAAGGAAGACTGTAGCCATTGTGCTTGTTAGCTACACGTGGGGGAATGAGAAGTGGGGGGGGGGGTTGAATCCGGCTTAACCAAACTAAACCTCCGGATAGTGCGCGGGGTCAGAGAAATCTCGCAAATTGTTCCTTGTAACCAAGTGATGCTTCTTGAAGTGGACTGCTTGTTTCTCTTCCAAATGGAAGAGTTTGAAAGGGTTGGAAAATCATGGCATCGTTTTTAATAATAATAATAATAATAATAATAATAATAATAATAATAATAATAATAATAATCTAATCACAACAAAGATAACAACGCACCACGCAGTCGTTTTTTCTTTTTCTGTGTGTGTGTGTGTGTGGATTTAAGAACAAGCATTTGGAGTCCTCACTCTTGCGGGAATTAGGCACGCATTTCCACTGGCCCACAGGAAAACAAGCCGGTACAGAAACGCTATCCATGCAGATCTTTGTTTTTCAATGGAACTTTTTAGCAAATGCAAACCAGCCGTTTCGAGATTTTCGGGACAGCGCACCTTCCTTTAGCTTTCCTCTCTTCTCCCCCCATCCCCATCCTCGCTTCCTTTCTCAGGGCTTCTCGCCTTTCCTTTCCTTTTTTTTTCTTTTAGCGCCGTTCACGATCCTTTACGGTTAGAAGGAACCTCGGATCCTGGCTGCGCGGAACTTTTCTTGCGGTTGGTTCACTTGCGTTAGGTGGTGGCGATCAGAGCCTTAATATCTTGGGCCAAAAGACAGAGGCAGGAGGAAGATGAAGAGATCTTCTATAATTATATATACATAAGGTTGTGTATGCGTGGTATGTAGATACATACATACATGCATACATATACACATACATGCACACATGTAAATATATATATATACATATATGTGTGTGTATATGTATATACATATCTATATATATCTATATATATCTCTATCTATCTATCTATCTATCTAATATAAAGTATATAAAGCGTTTTTCTATCGAGACACCTGGTCTACCCCAACATGTGGGAGGGGGCATTCTGCTCCCTTTCACCTTTCAGCTCCAATCCAGGAGCCCTCAAGCAGTCGCATTTAAATTTTAAGTTCTGGAGCTCGCAGGATTTCTGCTTCTTTCTTTACTAATATACCTGGAACTCGTATTTTTAGAATAGTCTTTAGAATATATTATAAGTATGTGTGTATATATATGCATGTATGTGTATGTATGTATCTGCATACCATGCACACACAGCCTTTTTACCTCCCTACCCTCCCTCAGGATTTAAAGACGGAGTGTTAAAATATTTTGCTGACCTTCCGAGGTAGATCAACAGGGTTTCTTGGCAAGCCGGAGGCTGGTATTACAGCCTGTCCCATGGGGGAATGGCTCGAATTAACCACTAAATGAATATTTGACAAGGGCTCGTTTGGGGGGTATTATTACTACAAACGGGTCCCTATTGGACTTCGCAGGGGTCAAAGAGCAACGGTTCAATTAATTATTTAAACTGCTAGTAGATTTGGTTGTAATAGCTGTCCTTATTCCTCCCAGCGACACATTCTTGCGGTTGAGCGATCTCGGGAATCTCTTCTCCCCTTCCCCCCCCCCCCCCCCGCTCCGGAGGAGAACCCACCTGGCTGCCCGACAGGACGGCTTCAAAGCGGGGCGGGCTCTCCCTGCATCTCTTCGGGCTTCCCCAGGTGTGGCTTTTTTTTTTTTTAAAAAAAAGGTACTTCTACCTCTCGCCATTTCGGGGTAGAACGAGAGGTGGTCTCGCCGAGGGAAAACGGGTGTTTTCTCTGCGAGATCATCCGCCGCAGGGCTTGCGGGTGTTGAATCGGGATATCCGTGCCACGCACGAACACGCAACACGCAGGGGGGAAAAACCGGCAGCCCAGAGATGCGGGGCAGGGGTGCAGAGAAATGGTGTATTTGACTAAAAGGACGGCCCAGAAAACACGAAACCTGTCTCAGGTTTAGTTTCCTAGTTTTTTCTCTCCCCCCCCCCAAGTCGTGGGAAGTGGAACAATCGCAGGACGGAGGGGAATGCGTGTATATTTAAAAAACGCCTGCATTTATTGGGGGTGGGGGTTGGTCTCCCTAGATTGTCGTTGGGTAGAGGCCTGCGTGTGATCCACACCACTACTCACTACGGGATGCCTCAGTGAGTTTTATTTTCACTCAATTCCCGACGGGTCAGTGGGTGAGATCAGCAACCCGACTTCTGCACGCTAGTGGTC